GACTGGATTTTGATATAATCTCAGGGTTGTGAGTGCAGATCCTTATATAAATCTTTCAAAGAATTGCAGAATTTTGGAGAGGGATAAGACAATATGGTAGTACTTCAATAAAAACATACACACAACCACTTATTTCTCATGCTTATGGTATTAACAACTAGTTGTGATGCTTTTAGAATTAGATCATGGATAATGTGATTATCTAAATTGATCTCCATGTTCCTTTTATAGATCGATACATCACAGCATCAAGATAAAATTCTTTACTTTTAGATTTATGGGGAGAAAGAGAAGGCAGCTTTGATGAAAATGACATTCATACTTAAAAATTTTTATTTCATATGTTGATAGGAAACGTTTTTCTTGGCTGCTATTAGTGGCAGAAACCTTTAATAAGATAATATTTCAAATTAGTGGGTAAAGATAATGTAGTTCATAAATCATCTTGGGACAACTGGGCACACATTTGTAGCATTATAATATAATAAAGTTTGATCCCAACTTACTTCTATATGAGGATAATGCCACGTGAAATTAGGATATTCTGTCTCCTATATTGTTGGTGGAGTGCAGAGTTGGAGGCCAATTTGGCAATCTCGAATTATATGTTTCCACCTCTAGGAATTTATCTAACATATATATTCACATGCGTACAAAGAAGTATGTAATATGTAATTCACTCTAGCAGTTATTTATAATAGCAAAAAAACAACCAAAAAACTATTAATGTAGGATTGGCTAAATACATTATGATACATCCATAGAGTAGCTTATTATATATTCTTTTAAAAAATGACATCTCTTTAATGTCCTGGTACAGAATTCACTCTAAGATATATTATAAAGAGAGAAAAACAAGATACAGAACTGTATACAGATCAGGGGCCAGCAAACAATCCAATTTGCTGCCTGTTTTGGTAAATAAAGTTTTACTGGAATGCAGCCTCTCCCGTCTGTTTACATATTGTCTCTGGCTGCTTTTGTGCTCAATGGCAGAGTTGAATAATTGCTACAGACACCATATGGGCTGAAAAGCAGAAAATATTTATTATCCACCCTTTAAAAAAAATCTTGCTGAGCCCTGTGTACTCCTATCTATGTTATATAACTTTTACTAATTAACAAAGAATACAGAAATCTCCCTATTTGTGGCTTCATTTTTCATGATTTCAATTACCAGCGGTCAACTGTGCTCAGCCCCAGTTTGGAAGCAGATGATCCTTTTCCTGATCAATCAATGAAGGCCAATGGTTGGCTAATGCTACATCATAATATTTACATTCTTCACCTCACTTCATGTCATCATGTAGACATTTTATCATCTCACATCATCACGAGAAGAAGGGTGAATACAGTACAATAAGATATTTCGAGAGAGACGATGTTCACATAACTTTTATTACAGTATATTGTTATAATTGTTCTATTTTATTATTAGTTATTGTTCTTACTCTCTTACTGTGCCTAATTTTCAGATTAAGCTTTATCATACACACACACACACACATATATGTGAACACATATACATATATATTTACATCAGAAAAAACATGGTATATATAGGGTTTGGTATTATGACTGGGTGTCTTGGAACATATCCCCTGCAAATAAGGGCATACTCCCCTATAAAATAATTGGAAATATTCTTACCTCCAACATTTCACAATTGTAAACCTGAAAATATCGTCAATGTCATGTTTGTCGAATTCCCTGCATTTAAGGAGGTTGCATAAAAAAGATCAAGAATACGTTTTTAAGTGATTTCTGATATGATCAATCCATAGAAAGAAATTCCATTTCTTTATGATGGGATCTATACTGTGCCAAGAAGAGCGATTAAAAGGTGGAAAAATCCAATCAATCAGTTCATCATTTTGTGTACAGAGTAAGTGGTTTGAAGGTTTTTTGTTTTTGTTTTTTTCCCCTGAACTCACTGTAACAACTCACCTGGAGGCAAGTTGGCAGAGTTATCAGGTAGCTGTGTAACTGACATCAAAGGTTCTGTGGCCCACGGATGAATTCTTTTGCCATCCCAGTTCTGGCCAGCCACCCTCCAGAGCTGGTGTTGGTTGTTTGGACCCCCCGATGCATACACAGAATAGAGCCATGGTTGTCTCCTTGACATCTTTCCATGGCTTCCTCCGACTCTCATTTCTTTGTTTTTCATGGTTCCTTGCTTGCTCTGATCTTGGACTGTCTACCTCTAACAACCTGGATTATCTGCCTATAACAACCTGGCCTCAGCTAGCCTGGTCTCCACCCTGCATTTGTACCCTCCCTCTCAGTTTGTAGCAAACCAAACCCAAAACTCTGTTAACACCCATAATCACAACACGGCCCTTGTGCACCTCAGAGCATGTCAGCCAATAATTACAGTAATAAATCTCACCCCATCCCAAGCTATGTTTGCTCCTCTCTGCCCCCAGATACACAGTGCTCTTCCGTGGTTCTGTTCCAAGCTGCTCCCGTGCTGGAACATAGCCTGTGCTCTCTGCCTGGGTAGCACCTCTCATCCGAGCTCAGTTGTTTCTGACTCCCGTGGAGAGATTTATATTCTCTTGTTTTCAATTTTCAACATCTTATTCTTTATTACAGTGTTGAGATTGTATTGAAATTATTCGTTTTTGTGCTTGTGTTTGCTCCTTCATTGCACATTGTGCAGTCCTCTTGGATGCCTCGCCCCTTTAACAACATCAGCCACAGAGGAAGTCTGTCACAAAAGGCTGATGAATGAAGGTACTGTTCTTGAAAACTTGCGACCTCAAGAGTCTAAGGTTCTCTGAATATTGACAAAAGTATGGCAGAAAATTTATTCAACAGCAGATATTTATGAAGTACCTACTACTATGTGCTGGACTATGATATGGTGCTTGGCACGAGTCAGAGAACAAAGCAAAGATGCCCTTGGAGTTTACTTCATGGTGAGGTGCAGGCATCATCCAATTTGATAGTATGTTAGAATGTGGTAAGTGGTATAACAAAAGGAAGACAGAGCAGGGTCCGAGCGATTAGCAGTGTTGCTGTCACATGGATGGTTTCAGTTCCTCGTTTTTTTTTAAAGCATGGCATCTGCTAATATCTAACAGTTGAGCCAGACAGTTGAAGCACTATATGAGCTCACTGAATTCTCATACTAGCTAAATGTGGTAGGTATTATTTTTCTTATTATCTTCATTAATACTGATGAGGAAATGAAGAGAGAGTTTCAGTAACTTGAGACTAAGTTCACACCGCTAATACATGGCAGACTGGGATTCGAATCCAATCAGTCTGATCTAAAAGTTCAGGTTATTAATCACTATTAATTAGTACCCTGATATCTGTGGGAAGCGATACATTTCCTAAATTCTCCACTACGCTTTTTCACTTTATAGTAATTTTTTTAAGACAGTAGTTTTATTGAAAGATAAAGATTTTTTTTTTACAGCCAGGGGGCAGCAAATGATTGCTCTTAAACTATGTACAAAGCAGATGACAAATGCAGATAGCTTTTTGAACTGTTTAAATGTAGTTAATAAGCCTCAAGATGAGAAAATGGAAGTCGTCCCTGTGCTTTTCTTTAATCTTTTAGAATAAAATTACTTTCATGTTAAAAGTAATATTTACAAATATTTCTTTAAAATAATAAATTTACAGAAAGGCTATCACCTTGATCTGAATCTTGATCTAAGATCAGTATCCCTAATATATTTCCAGTTTGGCTTTATAATATTTTTAGATGCCTGAATATGTGTATTCTTTACAAATAACTTAATTGCTATTTTCACAACTAAAGAATGGAGTAAATGGGTATTTATGCTTAGTTATTCTTCATTAGAAATTGAATTTTTTTTCTTTTTTTTCTTCATTGGAAATTGAATTTGAAATTCATGCATATAAAATCTTTTTTAAAGCTTCACAAAGGAAGAAGTGTTGTGGAAAAATGTCTACCAACTTAAATAATTAGGTTTTCTGAGTTGTACGGGGTACACTGTTGATCTTTGAACAGCACAGGGGTTAGGCACCAACCCTGTGCAATAAAAAAATCTACCTATAACTTTTGAATTTCTCCGAACTACTAACAGTCCACTGTTGACTGGCTAATAATAGCAGCAGTCAATTAACAGGTATTTTGTGTATCATATACTGTATTCTTATAATATATGAGGCCAGAGAAAAGAAAATATTAAAATCATAAGGAAGAGAAAATATATTTACAGTATGTACTGTATTTATAAAAACAAATCCATCATGTATAAGTGGATCACCACAGTTCAAACCCATGCTGTTCAAGGATCAAATGTAGTTGTACAAACTGTAGATGAAGATTTGGGGGTACTCAGAGCTTTTTATTTTTAAAAAAAAAATTTTTTTTTAACGTTTATTTATTTTTTTGAGACAGAGAGAGACAGAGCATGAATGGGGGAGGGTCAGAGAGAGGGAGACACAGAATCTGAAACAGGCTCCAGGCTCTGAGCTGTCAGCACAGAGCCCGACGCAGGGCTCGAGCTCATGGACCGTGAGATCATGACCTGAGCTGAAGTTGGCTGCCCAACCGACTGAGCCACCCAGGCGCCCCTCTCAGAGGTTTTTAAAGGGCTAACTCGTAGAATAGCAGAATAGGGGATTTGGTCGTTAGGGAATGTTTAATAAAGAGCAACTCAATAAAGATCTTAGATGATCTCAGGGGAACACTGAGACTCAGAGCTTATTTTCCCAAATCGAATGGAAGCTTTGGCGTGGGACACAGGATCCCTAACATTCTGACGGACACGAGTTTTGAAGCAGAGGGAATTCCTAATTCTTCATTCAACACGAGGCTGACACCAATCCCAAGTGAGGAACCCAAGCATTGCCCTAGGAGAAGGGCAGGGCTGTCTGCCGGGTGAAAGGTCAGGGGGCAGCCCCGCTCCAGGGCCAGGTGAACTTTCCACCTCAAGCAGTGCGGCTGGGGCCGGAAGGAGGGGGAGGAGGAAGGGGACCCGGCGTCCCAGCCGCGCGAGCTCCTCCTCCCTCTGCCAGCGGCCTCAGCTAGTCCGCCTCTGGCTGCCGCCGGGCTGCAGGGACTGCGCTCCGAAGCGCCTCCCCACGGGCCACCACCCAAGGTCGGTTTCTCACACTTAGAACAAACTTTAAAAACAGCCCTTGCGCTCGAAGGACGTGTCATTGTTAACACTTTGGGGCAACTGATGTCCTTGGCCGATTTTCTGCAGAGTAGGGGAGGGAGTTTAACTCACTGCCCTTGCTCAGCCTCCCGGGGTCCTGGTTGTCCCCGCCTCCTCGAGAAGGGGTGTGTGTGGGGGTCCCCTGCCTCCTCTTGGTCGTCGGCCCCTGCCACAGCCCGCCGGGTGTCGCCACTGTAGCTCTTGTCAGGTCCTTTCCTAACCGCTGTTGGCTGGTCTCCCCCACCGCGTCGTGTGGGTGTTTAGGTTCCTGGGGACTTCACAGCCCAGTCGGGTCCCGGCGACGCGACGGAAGGAACGGGAGCCCGGGGGGGGGGGCCGGGGGGGGGGGGGGGGGGGGGGGAGATGCGGTGGTGCAGAGGACAGACAGGCTGGGGGCAAGGGCCCTGCTGAGACTGGGGACGTGAGAAGGGCGACTGTGGTCAAGGCAGAGGCCTACAGTTGGGCATGGGGGGCCGGGAAGAAAAGCAAGCTTCAGGATATTGCTAACTGGGTGTCTTTTGCCAAGGCGAGAGAAAACAATTACCGGGACTCTCCTAGGTTCTAAATCAACAGCTGGATGCCATTTCCTATCCCTCCCGCCACCTCCGTTTGTAAGGCTTTATATTTGACAAAGAATTTACTTCTTTTTCTCAAATGAATGTAAGAAGACACCCATTTCAAATACACATATGAGGGACCCAGGAAAGTTCTGTGAATAGGGAAATATGATATATTTACTGTAAGTCCAAACATATTTTATATGTAATATACTGCTGACTTAACAGACACACATATATTTATGTGTCTGCGTGGTATTTAGTATTTCTATTTCCTCCCTGTTTTGGTCCTAAGTCTAGTTAACCCCAGGGGTGCTGCTTCATTGCTCTACATGCTTTCCGTAAACTCCTCTCAGATTTGAACTCCTTTGTGGACCCCAGCGTAACCACACCTCGCCCTGCACGCCGAACCTTCCCAACTATATTATTATTGCCGTGAAACCCCAAGTGCTATGGAATCGCGTTTGTAACTCACTAACAATTCTTAAAGCAGTCTACTTGATATTAGTTTTAGTACATTTGTATTCCAAGCTTCTTTATTAGATTTTGAGCTCTTCGACCGTATTCGTCTTTGTATCCTCTGCAGTGCTCAGCACTGTAGGTAGCAGTGTTCCTACCTCTAGGCCTCAGACTTGCTCTTCTCTTTCAGGAGGGTTCTTCCCCCAGACAGCTGCATGGCTAGCTCTTTCATTTCCTTGAGGTCTTGACTCAAAAATCACGTTATCACTGCCTAAAATCCTCCTGCCCCTCAGCATTTTGTAGTTCCCTTTCTTGCTTTATTTTTTCTCCCTAGTACATAATACATTTAGCATTTTATGTATCTTACTCATTTATCTGGTTCATTTTCTATCTAAATTACAAGTTCCATGAGGACAGAGAGTTTTGTCTATTTTGTTCAGAACTGTATCCCTAGGGGTGCCTGGGTGGTTCAGTCGGTTGAGCATCCGACTTCAGCTCAGGTCATGATCTCACGGTTCGTGGGTTCGAGCCCCGCATCAGGCTCTGTGCTGACAGCTCAGAACCTGGAGCCTGCTTTGGATTCTGTATCTCCCTCTCTGATCCTCCCCCATTCATGCTCTGTCTCTCAAAAATAAATAAACGTTAAAAAAAAAAAGAACTGTATCCCTAGTGTTTATCACACAGTAGGTGTCCAGTAAATATTAACAAATAAAGGAATAAATAGAAGCATTAAATAAATACAGTAGAAATGAATCAGAGTATATAGGCATTGGATCTGAGCCTAGAACTGATGTCAAGGGAAATGAATGCTTCTTTCCAACATGTGTAGAAGGGCACTAGCTAAATTAATTCACATTTACCTGGGTCTGTTAAGTTTATGAGAAACCAACTAATTGTTTCATTAATGTTTCAAAATACATATTTTTAAAATAAAGAGTGAGCATATAAATATTTCCAACCTGTTTTCATAGATCAAAGGGAAACATAGGTCTTTGTTTCCTGGATTGTCAGAGAAATGATTATGCTTCTAAGACATCTGTTCAGCTCATCATTTTCATTTCCTCCTGTGGTTTATACAGTTGAGCCCATTGGTACATATTTGTTTATATAATATGGCATATGGTATCGGTCAGTTCTGACCATAGAAATGTCCTGAAGATTTGTGGTAGCACTAGGCCTTACAATGTGTGGTTTTGTCATGGAAAAATTAGATTTCCATTTTGGTAGACAATTGAGTACTGATCATATTAACAAGAATCTTGAATAAACATATTTAGATTTCTCACCTCGCTGCAAAATGGTGAGTTGCAAGATTTAGTGAGCTAATACTAAATAAATCGTTCTTTTTCTCCTTGAAAGGTAAGCTTGGATCTGGGCAAGTTTGAGGAACTTGGTGTGCCAGGATTAAACTTAGGAAATACTGGGACTTTTACTAGGATTTGTTAAAACAAACAACCCCCACCCCCCTCCACAAAACAAAAACAAAGCTAATTTCACTATTCATTTGAATGCAAATATTTTCCAGAAAGCATTGCCCCTGGAAAGTTTTGAAATTTTATCTTGGGATTAAAGAAAAAAATATGAGAAATATGAATATCCTTATGAACCTCATATGATTTTGCTTCTAGAGCAGGAAGACTTTATAATCCTGATCTGTTTTAGTCAACTGCCCTCAGCCTTAGAGTTCTCGGTTTTGTCAAATAAAAAGCAAATCTGGACTTAGTAAGGAGAGACTTTATTTGAAAGGATTATTGCAAGAGGTGGGCAGAGACCATTACAATGTCATGAGGGGGCTCTTTCCATAGGGAGAACACTGTAACCATGTGATTGGCAAGTGTCTGAAGAGTTAGGCAAAAAGGGCTTCTTTTATAGGAGGAGTGAACAAGGCTAGCAAGAACTGGGCTGGAGAAGTGGGATGAGAGCACAGCATATAGGACAGTAGGTCAGAGAATGCCTTACTCAGACCCCACCCTGCTTTCCAGGTGGGACCCATAAATAGGTATTGTATGCTGTCTCAGGCTGCAAGTGGGCTCAATCAAGTTCAGGGACCCAAAGCAAGAAGAGAAGCCTAACCAAAGTTTGGTGAACAAGTGTTTTGTTTTAGTAAATCATTGGGGACTAGGAGGTTCAGCTAATCATTTGTAAGGCAAAGGCTGGTCTTGTCATAGGGTGAACAAGTGGGGAACCTGTGAATTTTATCTAAGTGGTATGGGAAGGGTGGTTCTTTGCAGTAAGCCATTTTCCAGAACACAAAAGCAGAGGGAGAATTCCTTTAATTTTTGTTGTTTTCCAGGAGCACAGGACTCAGGTAAAATTCAACATTGTCAGTTTCTCTACCTAGAATGAATTTGGAAAAATACTCTGACCTTATTCTGCCTGCTTTATAAAAGGATTACAGTGAAAACAATCTGATGGTTGCTAATATTTGAAATTTGAAATTTTTCCTCCCAGAAAAAGAAAAGGTGAATATATAAAATATCTTTGGAGCTTTATTCTTGCAAATAAAATACATCTTAAAGGATGTGATTTTCTGGTTTATATAGTAGCTGACTTGCAGAGGCATTCCATATTTAATGGTTGTAAATGAGAATTGTAGGAGAAAATAAATCTTTAAAACATGGATTAATCAAAGTCAGTATTTAGAACTTTACCAAAAAGGTAAACACCCAGGTTTACTCTAAAGTACTTGCTTTATGAAAAAATTAAAGACTATTTCCTGACCCCCTAGGAAGTTTCATTCTACAGTGAATGACTTTGTTATGGCAGAAAGTTCCATAAAGATAGAGTGAATTAACGATAAAAAGCTCCGTGTTTTATTTTGTTGTGTTGTGTTTAAAAGGACCATAAAACCACAAAATTTAGATTTAAATCAGTTTATTCTTTTCAGAAACATATGTATTGGATACATCAACTTAGAGATAACTGCCCATTTTACTTTCTCATGTAGCTATGTACTTATATTAAATTCTGATTTTCCTCAAAGTAGCTCAGAGAAAGTGAGGAAAGTATGTATGAGGAAAGTATAGAATTTTATTAAGCCTCTGAAATTCCAAACATATGCAAAACAAATAAAAACAGACTGGAGGTGGGGAAACTTTTGAGGAACATTTTGTATGTGTAGCCTACTTGCGGAAAAATTTATTCTTCCAGGGCCCAATCTGTGGTCTGTCGCTCACCAGCTGGGTGACCCCAGGGTCACCTACATTTTTCTAGCTTCGGTTTCCTCTACTGTTAAATGCAGACTAAGATGGTCTATAAGGGATCAGCCTAGTTTTAGAAGTTTACGTATTGTCTTAAAGCCAGTAATTCCTTAATTTATGAAGCAATTTGAAAACCTTGGATCATCAACAGATTTCCAGCTGTAAATGATTTACAGACGGTGTAGTTAAGATGGGGGAATGGGGAAAAAAGGATATACAAAGTCAACAACACAGGAGAGAGATTTTCTCTGAAGACAGCTAAGTGCTCAGGGTAAATGTGATTCCTGCTGGTAACACTCCCCAGGATCCTGCATTCTTCCTTACCTCTCACAGAGGCTCATCCTGGCTGGGTATCTTTACCTGGTCACCACTTAAGCCAAAGCAACTCCCCTCTTTCTGTTTTTCTTCTCTCCCGCACTTCGGTCTCCTTTGAATACTCAACCCTCAATAGCTCTCACCAGCCAAGGCCCATCCTGGTTTCCAGAATTAGCTACCCCTGTGACAGCCTCACCGCTTTCTCCCAGAGCCTGCCACATGCTGGGTAGGAAATGGCATTCGTTTGCTATTTCCATTTTCAGACAGTAGATGTCCCTGGTTTACCATTAGAAAGGGCTTCCTGGTTGTCATCCTGGTTCCCAGGCCTCCTATTTCAAGTTCTGTGTTGAACCACCTTAGAGTCAGAAATGTTTGATTTTTGCTTGTTTATAATCATATCTTCTAGGCA